ACACACACACACACACACACACACACACAGGGCAGACTCACACAGGCTCATGTGTGGCCATCGTTCTGACCTATGACATAAGACTTTAAGCCTGGTTTTAGTTATTGGGTTTTAGACTCCTCAGGAAACATAATTCTGGCTAAAGTTACAGTCTGTAACATTTCTCTCCTCTAGGTGTCAGCAGAGGTCTGTTTTCTTACTGTTACGGGACAAATCAAAAACCTTCAGCATAGAGTAACTGGAACCACAAATGTTTGTGTAATTACACAGTATTTTATGGATACTTAAGAGCAGCGTTGGTCAAGTTCCTTGAAAATAGTAATTAGTTACTAATTACTGATTACTTATTTTTCAAAAGTAATTAGTTACTTTATTACTTAGTTACTTTGTAAAAACATGATGCAAAACCTGAATATAAAGTAAAGCAATTGACTTTTCAGCCCAATTCTATGTTTTCTGTACAATACATCATATAAAATGTAATCAAATGAAAAAGCCTCTTTTTAAAAATTGTTTTATTAGTTTTAATCTTTTAACTTCATGCATCAAACAAACATTAAATTATATGCAACAGTCTTTGACTTGAAGAAATGTAAATAAATAAAATGATTTTTTGTGTTTAAACTCACTCTTTCACTCTCACAAACAGAATCACTGTTCAGTAATGCAGCATGCTTATGGGAAAGTAACAATAATGAAATTACTTTTTTGCAATAGTAATCCCTTACTCTACTCGTTACTTGAAAAAAGTAATCCGATTACAGTAATGCGTTACTTTTAACGTGTTACTGCCCATCTCACAGAATGAGTACAGCATCATGTTTTTTATTAAATATCTTCAAAAAATGACTGACTGTACCTTTAAGTGCATTAGTTTATGATGATTCTTCAGGGTGCCACATGTACACTGTACCACTCACTGTCAGCTGGACAGGCTGAGGCTTTCGATCTGACCGGCTAACATCACAGCAGCCAGGTCCAGTTTATCCAGCTGAGGTGAAGCCCAGCAGACAGCTAGCAGCTACAGCTGCCTGTATAATAAGAATGCACACTTTCAGCTGTAACACAGGTTAAACAGGTGAGTTATAATAACAGGTGTTATAAAGGAAGAAATGATCTACAGAGTGCAAACAGTTTGTGTTACCGGCTGTGAACATGTTGACTCTGCTGTAACAAACATTTTCATATAATAAATATTCTATCCTAAAGTTTTAACAGGGGAGTCTCCGGGGACAGACTCACTGCTGCCTCTGCTGGACACCAGAGGAACTGCAGGCGCATGAGCTGCTTTTTGTTTTCCCAGCACGCACTGCGAGCGAGTCCTCAGTAATCCAAAATGTAACCCTAACACTAAAGCCACATTTTGAGTGTGAAAAATGCCTTCAACCCCGTGGGGAACTGGATTTTGGTACGTATGAGGACTGTTGGTCCCCACCAAGATAGTAAGAACCTGTAGACACACACACACACACACACACACACACACACACACACACACACACACGCTTCTGTTTTTCTGGCCGTTAATATGAATATTTATGACCTGCAGGGGGCGGGCTACAGCGCTTATATAAATGTGTGATTGGCAGCTACTGGTAGCCAATCAGCTCGCAGGCAGTGGCTCCTCCTCATGAATATTCAGCAGCAGGTAAATGAAGCTGATGAAAAGAAGAAGAAAAAACAAACGGCAGTATCTTTGTTGCCGTGGTCACACACACTGCCGTAACCATGGTGAGGGGCTCATTGACACTGTGACTGACAGCTGAATGTAGATGATGATGTAAGGACTTCTGAACAGGAGGAGCTTCCTGCCTTCTAATTGGCTCCCGATCTGTGATGTTAGCAGCGAGTGTCTTTACATGATTTTTACTTTCACGTTTCATTTTTCTCTCCTTTCTGTTAAAATAGTTTTTTAATCTTTGTCAGCTTTCTGTGATTTTGTTCTTATTCTCATATTTTAACTTTATCTTGGATACTTGAGTTTTTTCTTTGTGCAGGATTTATTTCTTCCCTGTTGGTTTGATTCTTTTTCAGCATTTCTTCATTCGTCTGGTTTTACTGGCCGAAGCTTTTTGCTCCTGACTTTCTGTTTAAACTGCTCCGGTGTTGCAGCAGCTGTCTCAAGCACCAGATCTCAAGCTGATGATGATTTCAGAGATTTGTCAGGACTTCACCTGTTTGACCTCAGAATACCTGAACTGTCTGTGTGCAACCAGAGACCACTGAGCATGTGCAAACGTGAGCCCCAGGAGTGACACGCGCCATGTTCGGTCAAACATGAACGCACACACAGGTCACAGCGTACCTGTGTCATAAAGCTCGTCCTCCAGCCTCACTGTACCAGAAACACTGGGTTCAAATATTAGAAAAGTGATGAAGATTATTTGGTAAAAAGCTGCTTCAGAGAAAAATAACGCAGCGTTAACAGCACGGGGCAGAGGACGCACACACACACACACACACACACACACGGTGTCACTCATACTGAAGGCGGGCTCAACATTAACGGGTTACAGTCAAAATCTCTGCTCATGTCAAAGTTCAAAAAGCTGTCCTGCTGTTAAAATGTGTAACGAGCAGTACAAACGCAAACACCATGCACATAGTTCACTCATACATGTGTATTGCTTATTATCATTTTTTTCATTGTATATTATTTTCCCCTCTTTACTTTTGCACTTTGTGGTCCAGCTGCCCGATTTCGCTGTGCAAGACAATTACAATAAAACTCTAAGTCTAAGTCTCAAAACTGCTCCTGAATAAGTGGGCTGCAGTCTGGACTCTTGGCTGTGGGGGTCAAAGGTCAAAGGACAGCTGGGATCCTGTCCAATCAGGTGTGCTCCTCAGCCTGCTCCCCTCGGGGATTGGTGATCTCGCCCCGATCATTGAGCCTGTACACAGACACGCGTGAGAACAACTGGAATGTGTGTTAGTGTGAGTCGTGCCGTCAGAGTCCGAGCTTCAGGTGAGCTGAGAACACGCTGTCATGCACAGGTGAGGTCATCCAGACGTGTTCCCGCTGAAACAGGCGTATGTGAGGAAAGCTGATGCTTGCCGTTATAATCATCATCATTTCTTTGGTTTTATGCTCATGATTTGTGTCTGTGGTGGAGGTGTGGTCTCAGGTGATGGAGGTGTGGTCTCAGGTGGTGCGGTGGTGTCAGGTTACAGCAACATGCTGCTGGCTGCTCCTGCAGGAGGAGGAACAGGGGTGTGTGTGTGTCGGGTTACAGTTTGCTGTGTGGCTGATTGTTGCGATCATGTTCCAGCACACAGATCAATAAACGGTCAGGTGACCTCACAGAGAGTCAGTAATGTTGGTGTGACGCTAAATCCAGGTGACCTCTGACCTCTGTGAAAAGTCCTGGCTGGTCTTTGATGGTGGTTGTGCTAAAGGTGTGTGTGCGCGCGTGCAGGTGGATAAGAGTAACGTGATCTGGAGCTGAAGTCTCGCGGTACTTCCGGCTGAAACGAGCGCTCCTGTCGTCGGGGATATTTCCATATCCATCAATTTTACACCACTGCAAGTAAATGTGTCTGCGCGTGCCCGCCCTGCCAGTGCCGCGGGAGCGCGCAACTGCAGCAGATGAGCGCGGGGAGGGCCGGGGGAGCGTGCACGTTCACACTCACTTCTCATCGCTTTAATTTAGCAGAAGGGGAGGAGAGAGAGGGAGAGAGAGGCAGGGAGAGAGTAAGAGAGAGCTCGCGCACAGTCTCGCGGACCGTCGGAGCTTCCGCAGCATCGGACCTGGAAACCAAACCGAACCAGCACCGCTGCCCAGAAAACCCACAGCACCGGAACGCAGCGCCGGGCGCGTGCTCAGGTGAGGAGCAAGAGGAGGAGCGGACCGAGGCCGAAGCCCGAGCGGAGAGGCCGGGGACGGTGCAGCAGAAGCCGGGGCCGTTGCCACGGAAGAGTCGGTGTGAAAGCAGGAGAGGAGCACGGAGGAGCACCTCCGCCTCCGCCGATGGGGTAGAGCCGACTGGCGTCCGCAGCAGCCCGCAGATCCTCGGACGGTCCGCGCTCACCTGCCCGCCCCGACCCGCGGGGCCGGTGATGTAGCAGCCGCCCCCTCCCATCGCATCCACCCACCGAGTACCGCCGCCTCCTCCGCCCAGACTCCCACCATGCCTGCGGGGATGAAACCTCTGGAGAAGTTCCTGAAGAAGCAGACCACGGCGCTGACCCGGGCTGGGGGCTTCGTCGGCGGGGTGGCAGATAAAGCCGGCGGCACCGGGGCGTCCCGCCGCAGGGCCAGCCTGTCCCGGGTCGTCCCGTTCTTCAGGGAGACGTCACCGGAGAGCGGCCAGGCTCGCGAGGTGTTCAGGTGAGACAGAGCGGGTTCGTGGGGGATGAGCAGCAGGTGGACCGCGGTCCTTAAAGGGGTCCCGGGACTCCCCGTCTGCAGGTGAACCCGTGATTCAGTCACGTGATCGCAGACAGCTTATGTAAGCCGGTAACGCTGGGTTACAGTCAGACCCGCGTTACCTGAATGTTACCTGCGTGTTTCCGACACCTGTGACATACTCACACGGTTTACCTTTAGATACAAGCCTGCTGTTGTGTTGTTAACTCCTGTGAGCTGGATTTATTTATACTGTGAGCCGCAGCTGGCGACAATGGGAAGGAAAAACTCCCTTTTAACAGGAAGAAACCTCCAACAGGCTCAAGGAGGGGCGGGGCCATCTGCTGTGGACCAGCTGAAGGCTTTTCAGTGAGTTTTTAGGACTTCCTGATAATAATGAATTACAGTCGTCCAGCCTGGAAGTAATAAATGCATGAACTAGTTTTTCAGCGTCACTCTGAGACAGGATATTTCTAATTTTAGAGATGTTGCTCAAATGGAAGAACGCAGTCTTACATATTTGTTTAATATGTGCGTTGAAGGACATGTCCTGGTCAAAAATGACTCCAAGGTTCCTCACAGCATTACTGGAGGCCAAGGTAATGCCATCCAGAGTAAGAATCTGCTTAGATACCATATTTCTAAGCTTTTCAGGGCCGAGTACAATAACCTCAGTTTGATCTGAATTAAGAAGCAGAAAGTTAGCGGCCATCCAGGTCTTTATGTCTTTAAGACATTCCTGCAGTTTAACTCATTGGTGTGTGTTATCTGGCTTCATGTACAGATAGAGCTGGGTGTGTAGAGCTGTGGAACTCCATAATTGACCTCAGTGTGAAGAGGACTCTGAGTATTAATTCTGTGTGAAACTCTTTGTGCTCGTTGTTTCAGTTTTTCTGAAAAACATAAATTCCTTGATTCAGACTTTAGTTTACATCAGACTGATTCACAGCAGGAACAGCAAAAAGATCACTGACATCAGGAGAGAAGTGAGTGAAAGACTGACATTCGTTGGTTTAGCCGTCAGTAACAGCTGACTCTGGCTCGACGCTGCCACGCTGATGTTGATGTGATGGACGATCTGTCCTGCTCCTCGTCAGCTCCGTGTTTTACTCTTGGACTTGTTCCTGGCTTTGCATGATCCATAGTTTATAATAATCCTTCTGTATCTGAGCCTCAGTGCAGCTCCTCACTTCATCCTCTGTGTGAAGCAAGCTGTTTTACCTTCTCATCAAGGTAAACTTCTTCTGATTAGGTGGGTGGGGCTTCTATCCTTTCTATGACATCATTCAGGTGTTCAGTGTATAAAACTGATAGAGTGTTTCCAGCAGTCTGAGCTCCCAGTGATTACTGTTCACACACTGAGCTCATTACTGGAAACGTAATAGTTAATACAGCGCCTTCTCAAGATACCAGCCAATCAGAACACAATGAGCTTTCAAAGAGGCGGGTCTTAAAGAGACAGGAGCTAAAACGGCTTGTTTCAGCCGGCGATGAGCTGAGGGCCGGTTTAGGGTGAATGAGGATTGTTTTGAATCATGCAAAGCTGACGTCCTCAGAGGTCTTGTCAACTTTATCGACTCAGTGACGACTCTGATTAAATAAGACATTCAGATTCAACCCCAAAACGAAACCACCACACACACTCTTCAATAAATCTGCAGCAGAGACAAACTCTGACGTTTGACCTTTGACCCCCCCACAGCCCTGACAGTGAGGACCCGCCCTCCTGGCCCTCAGCCACAGGGACCGGTGTAGTGACGGCCCCCAGCAGTGCTAATGGCTCCGGCTCTGGTTCGGGGTCCGGTTCTGGTTCTGGAGGAGGAGACGTCCGCAGCCCGTCTCTGTCCAGTGATGAGCAGAGCTCTGAGGCGAGCCTCATCACGGATGGAGGAGGAGGAGGGGGGACACCTGTTCATGCCGATACCCCGGAAAACCTGACGCTCGCCGTGCTGGACAGCGTGGTGGGAAAACGCTTCGGACACTGCAAAGGTAAGAAGTGAGATTCACGAGCCCGGCTCACGTGTGACCCCAGGAAGTCTGAAGGTCCAGTTCTGGATCTCTAAGGTACTGAAAGTCTCTGTGAGTGATGGAAGTGTGGAGCAGCAGGTCGGCAGGCGGACGGCACGCTCGCGCCCACAGGCCACTGCGACCGTGCCGTCAGTGAGCACGCTCAGTGTGCTGATTGGTCAGACGTCCACGTTCACATCTGACCAAACGAACGGCACCAGAGTTCCGTCAGTGCAGGCCTCTGTTTGTACCACGACCTGTTTTATACTGTGTGTGTGTGTGTGTGTGTGCGTGCGTGTGTGTGCGTGTGTGTGCGTGTGTGTGCGTGTGTGTGCGTGTGTGTGTGTGATGTAAACGTGTCGCTTTCGAAGCCTCTGGTCTCCCGGAGAAAAGAGCGCTGCAGCGGCGAGAGACTGCAGAAACTCTGAGAGAGAAAATCTGCTGTAGGATGGAGATCAGGCCGAGTCGGCTTCCTGCAGGAGGATTTTCATTTTTACAGCTCATATCACACAGACCGCAGCCTCAGCGCGGGGTGTGAGTGTGTGTGTGTCTGTGTGTGAGTGTGTGTGTTCAGCTCCAGCGGTTACATAATCACTGCCGTCCTCTTTCAGAAACGCAGCCTGCTTATTACAGCTGAAGTGGGTGTGCAGGCATGCGTATGTGTTCCTGCAGGAATGTTTGCCTTCGTGTGTGTGTGTGTGTGTGTGTGTGT